TGCTCCATCTGTCCACATCATTGTCTCTGTCTCCATCCCTGGCATCACTGCCTCTCTGGGTAGAGTCACACTCTCCATTCTTCTCACTTAATGGTCCCAGGGACCTATGCTCCTGGGCTGCAAAATCAATCACTCCCTTCCTTTTGTCAAAAAGCATCTACCTCTACATTTCCAACCCTCACATTCAGTCCTGATGGCAATTATTCACTATTGTACCATAAGAATCTTATCCCCATTTCCTTTCAGCAGCCCGGTCCCAACAGAGTGGAAATCAAGGAATACGAGTCTTGATGAAATATAATAGAGCCCTGAAATTATGTTACTACCACCAGTTCCCATCAAATCAATTCCAATGCATGACAACCCCATGTGTTGCAGAGTAGAACTGCATTCCATATGGTTTTCAAGGGTAAGACCTTTCAGAAACAGTCACCAGACCTTTCTTCTAATGTGCCTCTGTTAGAGTTGTTCTGCCTATAGCGACCCTATGTGCAACCCTACCCAGTCCTGCGCCAAGCTCCCAATTGTTATGTTTGTGTCCTATTTTGCTAACACTGACTCAATCCATTGCTAGATGGTTTCTAATCTCCAACCTTTCAGTTAGTAGTCAAGCGTTTAACTGTGCCATCAAGGACTCCAAAGCATATGTTGTGTTGTTAGGTACCTTCAAGTCAATTTCAACCATGGTGACCCTATGTGTGCAGAATAGGATTCGGACTTCTTTATAGGGTTTTCTAGACTGTCATCTTTAGAGACGCAGGTCACCAAGTCTGTCTCCTGTGGAACCTCGGAGTGAGTTTAAACTGCTAGCCTTTCAGTTAGCAGCTGAGCACTTAATCATTGAGCCACCAGGGCTTCTAAAGTATATGTTGTTTCTGTTCAGTACTTTTGAGTTGATTTTGATTAACAGCGACCCCAGGTGACCAAGTACAATTGCCTTTAAGGTGTTCTAATCTGTAATATTTACAGGAAATCAGCAAGTCTTTATTTTACAGAGTTGCTAGGTGGGTTTAAAATACCAACTTTTTAGCTAACAACCAAGTGCTTAAATGTTGCAACACAAAGACACTGATAAGTATATGTTGTTATTGTTACTGTTAAGTGCTGTGGAGTTGTTCCTGACTCAGTGATCCTGGATAGGGTTTCCAAGGATGGCTGGTGAATTTGAACCACCGACTTTGTGGAGAATGTATGGTATAGAAGAGGTGTCAGTTGTCAACTGTGACTCAGATATAGTATCTGGGAGATACTAGAGAGTGATCATCCTTGAAAATATAGAGCAGGATACGCTCAGCCTGAATCCAATCTTGTGCTGTGACAGATTTGAGGGTCCCATATTTAACAGATATTCCTATTGGTTAAACTATATTTTATGCAAAAGGTTTCCATTTTTGTTGACTCAAAATTTTTGAAATATTGTGTGGACCATAAAAAAAACGACTGAAGGTTAGATTTGGCCTGTTGGCTCCCAGTTTGCAAATTCACCATAACCTACTCTTTTGCTAGCCACAATCAAGGGAAATGTATGGATCAGATTGGCAACCCTGTCAGAAACAAGCGTGAAAAGGAGATGTTCTTCCCCATATCTCTATGATTTTGTAGGATCAGCACTGTACTTTGAGCCACAAGGCAGTTCAAACCCATCAGCTGCTCCTTGGATACCATATACAGTGTTGCAATGAGTTGGAACTGACTCAAACACACTTAAAAACCACCACAACAATTAATATTGAAGAGTTTGGTGTAGCACTGTAGGATAAGCACTGGGCTACTAACTACAAAATCAGTGGTTCAAATCCACAAGCCCCATCTTGGAAACCCTATACAGGGTTGCTATGAGTCAGAACCAACTCGAAAGTACTTAACAACAACAAGTAATGTTGAAACCCTATAAATTCATGTTCAACCCTACACTTAGGGCAAGAAATAGGAATCTTTAACAATCTACTTTTCAAGTTGTTGTCTGATTTCACCAGCTCAAATCATTCAGAGTTCCCAATCCAACAAAAAAATATTTTGCTTACATTATTCTTTTATGTTTTTGTTAATGAATGAAAATGGATTTTGAGTTGGATATATGACTTTATGATACTTTATTATTTAAAAGATCATGGTTTATCACTTGTCATATTGTCTTCCTTGAAAGATATGTCAGAGATGTGTGGCATGTCAAAAAAGCAAACCAATATTAATCTGTTGTTCACTGGAGATGAGGTGGTCCCTAATCCTACCAATGCCAGCTCTTTAGTGTTCACGGATTAAGAGAGATCAAACACTGATGACTTATGGTATGATTTTAGCCTTCAGATTTTCTTTGTTTGATTTCCACAATGAGTTAAAATATCTTTTTTTATATCTTTAGACAGGGTTTTTACTCTTTAGGTTACTACAATTACTGTAGCTCTTGTTCTGCACTCACACAACTCCTCATTGTTTATTGCCTCACCTGCCAGGCCTCAATAGCTACTTGACATTACAATTTTTGAGCCAAAGATTCACACACACACTTAGACAGCAGAATAAATAAGAAGAGGCATCTTAACTGATATAAAATCTCTTACATGCTGATAAATCCTTTATTTTTAACAATAAAGGTATGTAAAAGTATATAAAGGTGTATAAATTTTAATTAGAAATTACCATACAGTAATCAATGTCCAAATATGATTAAATCATGATTTTCATTTGGATTTTATTTCAGGATACTGAAAACAGCTCTAAACATCGTAAATCCTCAACTTTCCAACAAGTTGTATTCTCCCTTTTCAACATATATTTGGACCAGGCCATTTTTATGGACTTCTATGGAAGGAATTAGTAAGAAGAACAGAAAATTTTAACTGACAACTAAGACCCAATAATACACTCAAAGTTGCAAACAGAGTTTTGGGGCCAGTGCTTCTGCCATTGTTTTTCTCTACAATTTGGCCTTCTGTAATCAAGCCAGAGAAATTTTTAAACAAAAGTTGAACAATTAAAAATTTTTATGACTCTGAACCCAGTCACATGTGAAAATGAGGGGTTTCTTAATTTATTTTTTCATTGTTTTACACAGAGTTTGCAAATTCTGTGCTATAACTTTCTATTTTTAAGGTCTAAAGTAAACAGAAAGCAAAAACAAAATTATAGAAAACATTTTATTCAACTCTGAGGATCATACTATTTAGAGCACCCTTACCATTTTTAAATACAGGGGAAGACTTAGAAGTGGAACTGTTCAGAAGATATGTTTGAAGTCCTGTGGTAACAATGAGCATCATTGCACGGGCTCTGTGAACTGATGAAAACCTCACTGCAACTCCAGAGCTGGGAAACTGCAGTGAAACCTTTCCCTGGGACTTTTGGACCAACCTGCAACTATCATGAGATTTCAAAGCACTAATGCAGCCCCTACATGGGCATAGTCACCTTGCAAGTCAGCACAACATGAAGCCCAAGATGGCAAGACCCTTCAACTCTTGTTAGAGACAGACACTAGACCTGAGAATGGAATTTGCCTGCTGTGGTGTTAATCCTGCCAGAATTTAGCAAAATATATTTCAGACCAGGGGATAAGAGACAAGAAGTGTGTGTGTGTGTGCGTGTGTGGGTGTATGTGTAGATGTATGAAGTGAGTCTGAGAAACTATGAAAATGGAAGCCCACACATTTCTGTACAGATAACATTATGTGACATGACTTTTAAATTTTACTATACAGAAACAAACTGCACCTCCTTGGAGGCCCTGCTTCCTTGTCATGTTTTGCCTGAGCATGTGCAAGACCTTTCCTTTGCTCCAGACTGAAGAACTACCTTTTTGTTGTTGTTGTTAGCTGACAAGAAAGGTCAAGCGCAATAAGATGTTGTGACGTTTCACTGTACAAACACTTCATTGACCATAAGCTTAAGTGCATGTGTCTTGGTGAAATTATATGGGGAAAAAACCTAGCAAGGTTAGTCATGAACTAAAGAATGAAGTGAAGGAGGGTATGTCAATACTAATAAATTTTCTGTTATACCTGCTTCTTTCTTGGGTTCCACGGTGTTAAGCAATATTCTAGAAATGAATACAATCAGAAGTTTCTATGTCTAAGTAGTGGGGTTATATGACTCACTACTTAGATCACTTTTCATGTGTAAGCCATATTCTATATGCATATTCAGTATGCAACCTTGTAATTTAAGATGTATTTGTGCATAGAGGCGTATATCATGCTTTTAAATGTTATGTGAAGAAGGTCCTTAGCTTTTGTTTCACCTGAATCTTGTGCAGAACACAGTTAAATAATTTAATTCTAGCATTGCCATGATAATGCAATTGATATTATACATGTAAGCAGCAAAGAATGATCTATAATAATATGTTACGGGAAATGTATAGATATATGTATGCATCATAGTGGTATCTTAGAACTTTTTGTTCTTTAAAATGGACTTTTTATTTCTATTTATGAAGAAACTACTGCTTTTAATGTCTTTTTAAAACTACTATTTACTAGCTAGAAAATATTCTGAGTTTATAATAGAATCAGACTATCAGAAATTCTTATTACTTTCATTCTTATTTGAGCCAGTAAAGCTATAGAATCTCTCAAGTGAGAAGTAAATTCAAAAATTGCTTCTCAAATTAGTAGGGAACATGTCCACTTTGTTCCTATCAGTGCTTTAAGATCTACAAACTTTCTTAATAAACAATAGCAGATTATAAAGAATTTGTCAATTTTTGTATCAGGGCTGCTTAACCTAATTTTCCAGGTTATGTGACTTATAAAGCACTGTGACTGAACTTCAAGAGGGTGGAGAAAAGATGCTGTTTCTTCAGAAGACTTATGCTGTTTTAGGCACTTTTTCTTGTCCTATTCTCTGTTACTTCTTTCCTTCATTTCCTCTCACAATCCTTTTTTCTCCTTTTCTTTTCTCCCATTTTCTTATTCTTTCCTTTCTACTCCCCTTCACTCTTTGTCTCTCTCCTATAGGTGACTTTTTTTTTTTGGCTCCACTTCATTCAACCCCTGTAAGGACATTGGAAGAAACCAAGAAGGCAAGAAGTCAGAGCTAATGTCACCTGTGCCCATCCCTCCTGGAAAGAGCAATGCTGAGGTCTCACTGGAGAGAGGGCTTGATGAATTCTAGGATGCTGCAACTTGAATGCCTTGCTTTGCATTTGTATCCTCAGCTACCCAACATATATATCTTGCAATTTCCTATGCCTTTTCATTTAACTAGTACCTCTTTTATTTAATTTTTAACAGCCTACAGTTCTTGTGTTTTCATTCTGCCTGTAATTCTCTGTATTTATGATTGCTAAATAAATCATATCTGAGGGGAAATATTGCAAATTATTTGGTGTCTGATGTAAAACAATTTGTTGTTCTTATCATTGTTAAGTGCAGTTCCAGTTCATAACTATACTATAAAGGGTTTCCAAGGAGCTAATGGTGGGTTTGAACCACTTACCTTAAGTTAGTAGTCCAGTGCTTATCCTGCTGGTTAGATATAAAACAGTTGGAGAAACGAGGGGATACCAGAGCACACTAATTTTTAAAATGATCTGAGTTTTGTCAGAATTTTAAAAATTAATTAATTAATTTAAAATATTCTATTAAAAGTTCACTGAACACTTTTTATTGTGCCTATCATTTGCAAGCTCCTGCTTAGATACATAGTCCATGTAAGATTAAGGAAACTTAAATCTGAATCTTTCCTCTGAAAATGTCATGTTATCAGGAGAAAGTACATACACATGAATAGCAAAAATGCCATAATGTTGTGAAGTGCCTTCAAGTCAGTTCCAACTCATAGCAACCCTGTATAGGGCTTCTGAGGAACAGCTGGTGGCGTGTCCTGCCAATCTATGGTTCACAGTCCAGTGCTGATCCAACAGCGCCACACCAGAAGTCCATATATGCAAGGAGTGAGGCCCATAAAAGAGCTGCAAATAAAATGCACCTTCCTGAAGTGTTGTTGTTAGTTGCTGTAGAATTGATTTTGACTGATGGCAATCCTGTGTGTGACAGAGTAGAACTGCTCCATAGGGTTGCTGTTGTTGTTGTTGTAATCTTTATGGAAACATTGCGAGGCTTTTTTTTTTTTTTTTTTTTTTTTTTGTACCACTGTACTGTCCGATGGGGTTGAACCATCAATCTTTCGGTTAGCAGTCAAAGAACTCATTTGCACCACCTAGTGATCTTCTTTGGAGTATCAGTGATTGTGTTCTGTAGAGTCAGTTCTAACTCTTAGCGACACTTCATAAGGTTTCCGAGGCTGAAAATCGTTATGGGAGCAAAAAGTGCCATCTTTCTCATATGGAACTGCTGGTAGTTTGGGTCGGCTGGCTTTGAGATTAGCAGCCCGACTCGTAAGTACTATACTACCAGAGCTCCTTTCTGAATATTGTTGTTTTTGTTGTTGTTAAGTGCCGTCGAGTTGGTTCTGATCCATTGTTGCTGTTGTTGTCAGGTGCCATCGAGTCGGAACCGACTCATAGCGACCCCATGCACAGCAGAACGAAACAATGTTCGATCCTGGGCCAACCTCACTACCGCTGCCACACTTGAGTCCATCAATGATGCCAACCTGGCCAATCCATCTCGTTAGGGATCTTCCTCTTTTTCTCTGACCCTCCACCTTACCCAGCATGACATCCTTCTCCAGCGACTGTTTCCTCCGGACAATATGTCCAAAGTATGAGAGACGAAGCTTAGCCATCCTGGCCTCCAAGGAGCACTCTGGCTGCACTTCTTCCAAAACAGATCTATTGGTTCTTTTGGCAGTCCATGGCACTTTCAGTATTCTCCTCCAACACCACAACTCAAAGGCATCAATTCTTCTACGATCTTCCTTATTCACTGTCCAGCTTTCGCATCCATATGAGGCTATTGAAAACACAATGGCCTGGGTCAGGCGCACCTTAGTCCTCAAGGTGACATCTTTGCTCTTCAATACTTTAAAAAATTCCTGTGCAGCAGATTTGCCTAATTTGATTTCTTGACTGCTGCTTCCGCGAGTGTTGATAGTTGATCCAAGAAGAATGAAGTCCTTGACAACTTCAATCTTTTCTCCATTGATAAGAATGTTGTTTGTTGGTCCATTGGTGAGGATTTTTGTTTTCTTGATATTGAGATGTAATCCATATCGAAGGCTGTGCTCTTTGATCTTCATAAGTAAATGTTTCAAGTCCTCTGACCCATAGTGACCCGGAACAGGGTTTCCAAGGCTGTCAATCTTTACGGGAGCAGAATGCCTCATCTTTCTCTCGTGAAGCAGCTGATAGTTTCGAACTGCTGACTTTACAGTTCACAGCCTGATTTGTAACCACTATGCTACCAGAGCTCCTTTTCTGAATATTAGCCGAGCTAAAAAATGCTCCGATCTTAAAGACTTAAAGACTCTTAGAATAGGTAACACATGAATTGAGTCCTAAAAAAAAATGAAAATTTGTATTCATTGTATATTTTCTACATGCAGCTTCAGTGTTAACTGTTTAAAAAAATAAAATATTATCTCTAATTCAAACACTAATTCAGCAAAGTGTTTATCAAAATGAATATAGAAGACCAAGTCTTGGAGAAGAGCTTTATTCAAGACCACAGGCTCCCAGTGGCTGGTTTCAGTATTCTAGGTCTCACTGGAACCAAAGGCCTCTTTTCTTTCTATTGTATCAGTGTGCAGCATGGTAAAATCATAGTGGAAGGGAAGGCTGTGTGAAGACAAGATGGACTATTTGAATAAGGCAACATCAGAAAATAAATAAGCAAAGAATGTTGTGTCAGGTTGAGTTTCAGTACATTGAACTAATAGTTATTGGCATCATACGTATCCCTTTTTTGGCTGTCCCTGTAGTGTCAGTGGACTTTTGGCAAGGCACTGTGGGACCAGACTGGACTGCAAGCCACAAGGTTTACAATTCAAACCCACCAGGTGCTCTTTGGGAACCCTGTAAAGGGTCT